CAGTAAAAACACTGTATGAACATCTAAGAAATCTCAAGGAAACTTTTACAACATATCATGCAGCCTATAATTTGTCTTAAATAGCGACTGATGAGGACCGTAGAGACCCTAGAACTCTAAAGTGGTACCTGTTTCTTATACCCACTCAATAGAAAGACTTCAAAACGTAATTTTGTGAGCCACTTACTTCTTATAGATGGAACAAACATTATATATATACATTTTTTTAATTCCCAAAAGTGCCGAAATCCGCAAGACAATTTAGACCTTTCAGAGAGGATAGTAAATCTCATTTTGAACGAATTCTCTGATGTATTTGAAAACTTATAGGTGTTGAAAAAGGCTTCGTTTAAAGAGGTGGGAGGTTAGATGTTTCTGGGAACTGTATTTCTTTACATGCAAATGATTAAGACGTTTGATACGCGGATCGTGTTTGTGTAATAGGTTATCTATCACTTTTGATGTCTGAGTTACTTTTAAAACCTCAATAAATTCTACGAAAAAAAGCGAAAAATATCTTATCAATATTTATTAAACTCGTGTCCCGTATCTTTTCTATGGCTGTGGAACATACGTTACATAACGGTATGCGTAGGATGCGAGGCGTAGTTGGTATTGTAACTAATACACCCAAAATTTGAAACTGTCCATGAGTTTTAAATTCACGACGAATATGACCAATGGTAGATAACTTTTAGGTAACAAAATTTTCAATTCTCTATACAATTGACAATTACTGCTATTGAAAGAGTCATCAACGTGGACATTGTAAAGAAAAATGATCTTTAGTTTGAAAGTAATTTTCCTAGATCTGGTCAATTTAAATGTATTTTCCTACCACTTTTCCATTATTAATGACTCATAGGGTTCTGATAGTGTTTAGCTTGCACAAATTTCCACAGTGCTCAACTAATGATCGTGTTTGTATCAGGCGATACAGTGGTAACGTATGTTCTTTCTTACGCTTTTTTTCACTTCAAACGGCTATCAATTTATTTGCTTACAAAACAGAAACCCGTGGGCGTAAAATTGGGACATTTGTGGGTTTTTGTTCTATACACATGTAAGTTTTAAAAAATTGGATAATACATCGAATTCATTCAATTTCATTTTTTGAGACTTGAACTTGTGAAATGCACCTCTATATTGGGTTTGGGTGTGTAAGTCAATTATAAAACATATTTCCTTTCGGTTTCAACGAAGCTGATTCTCTCTAAACCGCGTTCTTTAAATAAAAAACTATACAAGGTGCCTATTGATTCATTTTCTTCTTTCCATATTCAAAAATACCCTTTACATGTACGCCTTCACTGTAGCAGTACCTGACAAAAGTCATTTACACTTCCAAAATATCAAAGCACTTGGCCCTCGTCTCCTTACTCAACAGACCAGCAATGGTGAGCTCTTCTGATATCCCCCCTCGCACATTGAAGTTGCTATCCCTACTGTTTCGGTGGAGCAGGAATTCTGTCTCTTTTATGGTTTTGGAACTCCCATCCTCCTCACGGCCTCCGACTGATGAACTATTCCCAGTTGGGGAAACAAGCGGAAAACTGGGTCGACTCCCAACCGATGCTCGACTTGACCTCGTTCCCAAACTGATGCTCCGCCGATCTCGCCAGTGGCGGAACTTGCGCGTGAGCGCCGCACGGACCTGAAAGAGATCAAACGAAGGAACTAAATATGGAAGCGCCTCTTATTAGTAGGCCCGTACACACAATACAATTTAATCAATATTAAAAGCAAATGGATCCATTACAAATTGAGCTGAAAACCAGAAAAGTCTATCAATTTCATATAAAACTCGCACAAATAAATCATATTTTTCGCTGGAAGAAAATAACGTTACAAATTCATGAAAAAAATAGTAAGCGTGTTGGGCATACGTGTATATATGCACAGTGTCAGGGACCACACAATTAGGAAAACACTTGTAATTGATAGTTTTTTTATAATTCATTTTTTTAATTCGATCACTGGAAGTTGCCCTAAATGAATTTTCAGTTTCCCTATTCCGTTCGATTTTATTCCCAAAAGTTAATATCTCTGTAATTAGGATGTTCTACAACATATGTGCGATGAATGTATTTTGTTTTGTTATAGCTGAGGAAATCAATCATGTCGTTAGGATGTATTCTTATGTATTCAGTTTACAAGTCAATTAAGTAACTGAGCCAGTTTGCATCAGAGTAATTCAAGCTGTATCTGGAAACCATTTAATATCTAAATCTTCTGTATCATATAAGTATTATAATGAGATTTAAGTGACCCAATAATATGTAACTACATATACCTGTGAAGATATACACGGAAGACACTAGAGAAGGGTTCTTTCTTACTTGTGAGGGACCCTTTGACTCCACGCTATATTGAATAACCCTTTAAGATTAAACCACAGAGGCTGGAAACAATCTTTGGATAACACAATATGTAAAACTGTTTGATCAAAAGACATTTAAGTAAGACTGAAGGGTCTGGAGGTTGAAGCTTGGATGTTAGTGTAGCAAAATATATATTCTGCTGAAGTTACAACATGGAGTCGTAATCCAATTGAAACGTAATCCAATTCCTTCCTCAAGGAAACCTTATCATATAGTCCGTAACAACAACAACAAAAAAAAATGCTCTCCAGATAATGACTTTTCAGACAGTGTGCCACTCTTAACTAACTCACTTAATACTCAAGGAAGTGCGTCACTGATGATTTCATCGGAATCGTTACAGGACAAATCTTTCAAAAATTATCTTGGCTCAGTGATAATGAAAACAGACTTTGATAGCGACAAAACAGCTGAAGGCTTTTCCCGGTAAAAGCACATCAGAGAAAGCTAACTTGTTTTGTCTTATAAATGACCTAGCACTCAATTATTACTTATTTTTCAAGTATTTTTCTCATCAAGCTGTTATCGTCTATTATTGCCAATTTATTTTGTACATGAAAGCAAGAAACCTGGTCAGATTGCTTTAAATGTCATAATTAGTATTTTTGGATGTACGTAAAAACGGCAAACAGTGACACCCGCTGTGACAGGAATTGTAGACCGCCAGGAACCGTAGTCCCCTCCCCAATACTTTGTACAGAATACACTGGTCCCATATACTAACCCCATATACTAACACCAATACTCCGACTATTCCTAATCTGCATCAATCATATGGAACCCTGGACTTCCATTCTTGTTACACCGGTTACTTTCGATTTCCACGAATGATGGCCACGAAAAGCAACACTACGTGTACCTGTACAGGGTGTGAATTTATTATTTCACAGACGCGATTTACCTGTACTAGATTAATATTAAAGTGGCTGTTGTTTGGAAACACCATTAAGTCAGTGTTGCCAGAGGTAAATATCTAAATGAAAACTTAGCAATTAAAAACAACTGTACTATCAATAAAACTTAATTCATAGTAAAAAAAAATCTTCCCTACCTCGCCGTTCATAAAGCAGTAGAAGGCCGCCGCACATAGACCCTAAAAGATAGAAATAAAACACACTTTTAAAGGTAAATTAACGAATTCTTTATCAAAATAAAGAAGATTTTGTGAACCATTATTAATATATCACCTTGGAAATTATACTTGATAAAATGTCAAATTAGTAGTTGTAGTAAAGGGCATCAAATGTGAGTAGGCCCCTACACTTTTGTTTGTGTGTGTGTGTATTATCATTATGGCAAAGTATATGTATTATGATACATTTACAAGGTAATTTGAAAATTTCGTCTGACAAACTTTTTCGCAGGGAAAAAGTGAACCTGGTTTAGATCACTCAAATCAATAGTTTTTATTGAATACATGTATGCGCACCAACAATTGCAACTAAACAATAAACATTTTTATTTGTAAAAGCACTGATCATTTTGGGCTAAAGTGGAAAAATCTTTGGTATATGTCAGACCCCAATTTTGGGATAAAAGTCATTTAGCAACCAAGATAGTGACTCCTGCAGCTTAATGAATAATGATCTACCAGACAAGGTGGCCGAGTGGTTAAGGCGATGGACTGCTAATCCATTGGGGTCTCCCCGCGTGAGTTCGAATCTCATCCTTGTCGTATTTACCTTTTTCATAACTTTGAAGCATATTTTTCACCAATAAGAGCGCATTCTCAACGAATTAAGCCAGGCTTTACAAAGCCGGTGACCTAAAAATGGCGGACGTACATGAAAGAAAAACCGCCTAATCTTTTAATAGTCTCTCCGCCTCTCACACGCCTCCCCACACGTCGTCCCTGCGGGGTACAGTAATTAAATCTCGGTTCCGAACATTAATATTTCCGTGAATATCTCTGGTGATATTATTTCCGTAGATAGTCGATTCATTGCTGCTCTACGGGCCAAATTATTCCTTTTTCGTCTCTGTTTTCAAAGATAATAGAACAGAAGAGCTTTTTTCCTTCGATCGCCTTCAGCCGCCATGTCTTCTTCACCACGAGTTTAACTGATGAGCATGCGCACTTAATATTTCTCAGGTAGCTTCCGCATGGCGAACGGAGCCGAGATTTAATTACTGTACCCCGCAGGGACGACGTGTGGGGAGGCGGAGAGACTATTAAAAGATTAGGCGGTTTTTCTTTCATGTACGTCCGCCATTTTTAGGTCACCGGCTTTGTAAAGCCTGGCTTAATTCGTTGAGAATGCGCTCTAAGATTATTGAGTACAGTATACCAACCATGAGCAAATTATTTGAGTCATGCAACTTTATTTTGATTAACAGGTGATACGAAGACATTATTATATCCCAACTTACCTGTGTAGAGTGCAATAACGCTGAGCAATATTTGAAAATAATCCGCGTAAGTTGATCGTCGATAGGTGGCGTGATCACCACAATGTAGGCCACACCCAAAAGTAACATCAGTATGATTGTCGTGCGGACGGCTTTTCTGTGAAAAAAAAAAAATAAATAAAACATTATATTTATTATATGAACTGGAGAACCAGGGGGTGCTTGCTTTCCCTTTAAAGTTTGAAATACCAACTCCTCCCCGACCCATGCCACGCACCCTTAATTTCTTATTTTTTTTAATTCATACACTGTAATAGTTCACGTATCAATCTGTTTTCGTTTGACATTGACCCTGTAGACTATATAATAATTATCCTGGACCTAAATCAATGCTCGTATATAATTAAAGAAAAAAAAATCTTACTTGTAATGTCGAGCCTCAAGTTTGTGCGTTGATTTAATTTTTGAAATGAGGATCCACACGATGGAGAATAAGAAAACCAGGTTGACCTGAATAAAAGAAAGATTAGCATTATCATATCTACATATCTGATAGTAAAATCTTACCGATACTTACAAGCTTTAATATGGTGTGTGCCCTATAGGAAACTGGTTAAAAGAATACACCTGAATATAGCAAAATTCTCCGTTTTGAAGACAAGAGGACCTCCCCCACCCTGAGCTTCAGAGATAACTTGACACTAACCTCTTTACTATAGCCTATCTTCATCGTGTCAAGTTACCTCTGACGAAAATAGTTTGACCTAGTTTATATAAGCCAATCGAATCCAAGTTTCAAAATTTTTCACCAAAGTTTGGTGAAAACGCTGATTGGTTGACCGTCAATCGGTAATCCTCGGCTGATTCCGCAAGCTCCATACTAACAGCAAAGTTATTGTCGAGTGCGGAGACATCCGAGTAGTTCCGAGTGCATAACCGTACACAAAAAAAGCATGGCGTCTCCTACGAGTGACTACGTAAAATAATGTGTTAAGTTATCTCTTGATTCTTTACAAAATATGAGTATATCGGAATTAAAACCAGAGCAGTTTGAGGCCCTGCATCATTATCTACTGAGGGATGATGTATTTTGCGTGCTGCCCACAGGTTACGGCAAGTCCCTGATATTCAGCCTTATCTTTGATTGGTCCGGATTTGAACAAAGCGCGCTTTGACTCGTTCGCGTTCATTGGCTAGATCGTTCAATGAGTCATTGAGTGCGGGATTTAAATTTGATTGGCGGGCGGCGGGAGCAATCGAATGTGGTCAGAGGTAACTTGACACGATGAAGATAGGCTATAATGAAGAGGTTAGTGTCAAGTTATCTCTGAAGCTCAGGGTGACCTCCCCCCAAAAAAAATAAATAAATAAATAAATAAATAAATAAATAAATAAATAAAATAAAAAAAGAATAAAAATAATAAAATAAATAAATAAATAAAATAGAATAAAATACAATCTTCATGGGGAATGAACTTACTGAGATAGCCACCAGGGTCGGGGCGTGGACGATGTAGTCGTACATATCATTACCTACGTCCCAGTTGAGGATTATCCAACACCTGAAAATTTATTTCATTTAATGTAAATTTAATATTCAATATAAAACCCATCAAACATTCAGGTCTCAGTTCACGTCAAGGACAACTCATCTTTGTTTTTTAAATGTATGAAATACGACTTAAACTTCTTATTATTGTGAAATAAGCCTGCACAAGTGGTGAACTTAAAATGTTGGTAGAAACCGGACCCGAAGGCAAAGTTAAACGAATTAGCCGTTTTTGATCTGAAAACTCAAGTCTCGATCACAGGGCGCAAACATAAAGCCAGTGGTCACGAGGACCGCGGTTCAAACTGCTTACCGTTAATTCGCCTATCAACCCTATGCCAACTCGGTGCCGGAAGTTGTCGAGAGCGCATGACTTCTGTATCGAAAATATTTTTAGGTTGAGGAAAAGAACTCGTGTGTAAACAGTTAGGGACCCGTGAGAAAGCTAGCCAAATTATTAGCGTTCTTTTATGTGATGCTATCGACCTACGTTTTACGTTTGCGCCATGATATCGCGGTTCGAGTCGTTAACGCGGCGTTCGCGACAACAAATCAAAGGCTCCAGATTACAAACGACATTTATCGTTTATGAGGCCTGAAATGTTCGGGGTGTTTATTTTTGCAATTAAACGGCAAAAATCAGAATGTTTTACTAACCTGATATTGTCCAGATTGTAGCGCACTACCCCCCATGTGATTACAAACAACACCGGAACACCTGTGGATTGAGAATAAATCAGTTTATAATATGTTCATTGTGTTTTCTATCTGTTGCTACCAGCAATGTAAAAAGAAATGATTAAAAAAGCACTCAGAGAGCTCTTTTCTCCCTCAGTTTAACTCATTTCTCGTTAACATTACTTAATTATTAATTAGTAAATCAATCAACTGATTAAATGTTTAATAAATCAACTCAATAAAATAACATCCTTGGCGGAGGTACAAAACCTAGTAACGGTGCATGATATCGGACATCACACCTATAAATTGTGGTAGTTGAGAGCACATCCACAGGTTTCTGGTTCAAGGTTATTTCCCCTGTCTTGCAATGATGAGGAATCCTTTCAAATTCCGGGATCCGGGTCATGGATATACCGCTTTCGTTTAAGAAGGCAACATATGTGTGTGTGTGTGTGTGTGTGTGTGTGTGTGTGTGTCAGATAAAGAGTGAGACAGAGAGAGAGAGAGAGAGAGAGAGAGAGAGAGGAGGGGGGTAGGAGAGAGAGAGAGTGGAGAAAGAGAAGGGTAAAAGAGACAGAGAAATGGCCTTTGGTGAATGCACGGGTGTGTGTGTGTGTGTGTGTGTGTGTGTGTGTTGTGTGTGTGTGTGTTAGTGTGTGTGTGTTAGTGTTGTGTGTGTGTGTGTGTGTGTAGAGAGAGAGAGAGAGAGAGAGAGAGAGAGAGANAGACAGAAGATTTTAATGCAATAGTGAATTATATTTTCACATAGAATCTGAGCTTATTGATATCTGCAATACTTTTGTGTGTGTGTGTTAGTGTGTGTGTGTGTGTGTGTGTGTGTGTGTGTGTGTGTGTGTGTGTGTGTGTGTGTGTGTGTGGAGAGAGAGAGAGAGAGAGAGAGACTCAGAGAGGGTGGGGAGGGGGGCAGAGGAGGAGGAGGGGGCTGTACATGTACGTACCCCATGCGAAGGCGGCGTACACCCATATATTAAGTTTGTCCACAGAATAGGCCCAGAATACCATGATGTGAAGATGCAGACCTTCAACAAACATCCAGAAGAACAGCGATATGGTGCAGTAGTGATAGACAGCAGCGCTTATCTTACACAACCAGTTCATCTGAAATGTCAGCGAAATCGAAAAGTTAATCAAAGATCAAATTATGCACAGTAAGAGTAAACCAATGTTGTGGTGTGAGATTCAGAGAGGGTAAAGTGGGGCATCCCACCTCTAGAGGTTCGTAGGTACCTCCAAATTTCCATTTTACCCCCCTCCTAAAAAGTTAATTTAAAAAGTATATCAGGCTAAAGAAACCTAATCCTTGTCCCAGACATACATGTCGGCCTACATGTAATACAGAAAACTGTTTATATAATTGTTTTCAAGTAAAGCTATGGAAAATAACCCCTTCCCGTCCCCAGATTAATCCTGGATCTGTTCTCTAAATATACTCATGCATCATGTTACTAAGTTAACCTAAGAACAAGCTTCCATTTACCGCGTGGAACTGGAAACTCACCACCGTCGTCTGAGTGTCGTCTACATCCGCCAAGGCGACCGAATGGAGCATGATCCAGGCAAACATCCGCAGGAGAAATGAGGACATCAGGTTACAATGGATTGTATTTCTAAGACAGCGGAGACTTCTGTTAGAAATAAAATAAAATAAACTTAAATAAAGAATAAAACCAAAGACGCATTAAGGATAAGGTTGAAAAAAAGAAAAGAAAAGAAAAAATAGAGGTGAGATAATGAGCTCAAGTTAAGTCCTCAGTAGGTCTGCAAGAAGAAAATAAAAACATGTTGAAACCGTCCTCTATAGGTCTGCACGAAGAAAATAAAAACACCATAGAAACCATTTCAAATATTTGAAATTGAGTTCCGATTCACACACAAAGAATCAGTCATAATTGTAATTGCATACTCTCTGATATCAGGGCTTCTGAAATACCGGTAGTTAACAATTTAGATATGAGCCATACAATGATTATTTAAAAGACTACTAGCGCACCCTGTTGTCGAGAGTAATATCTGTCCAAGATATTAAATCAAATAAATAAATAAATAGATGATAATTTCAGATAAAAAAAGAAAAAAATACTTTTTAAAAATCTTTCTAGGTGTAGCTTACACCATAACTTGCACATTTTAGTAAATTTGTCTTAATTTATTTGTTGAAAAAAAAACTTTGACCTACCGGAAGTAGATAAAGATCACGAGCGCCAACAGCAGCGCTATAGTGGATAATCCAAATCCAATGAAATATATAATTCTGATGATAAGGTTGTGCATCTCCAATGCCTGAAACACAAGGAATAAGTTTGGTGAGAAAAACAATATTTGAAAACTCTGCGGGATATATATTTAAAGTATCTTAATTAAGTATTGTATATGAACTTGGAATGTATTAAAGTTGACGTCGGGGACTTTAAACCGTCTATAAAGAGTACATGTGGGACTATTCTAATTACTGAAACATAATCAACATCAACAAACAGAAAACAAGTTTAAGTAAATTACGAATAGGTGGCTTATCTACACACCATTGTTAAAACGACCGATTTCATACTGTAACTGATACTGAAATAAATCTAATGTCCTTGAAGAAAGTAAACGTTGTATTCTTCCAAGTCCCGAACACAATCCTATTAAGCGAAAAATTAAAGCCAGAAAACGAAGTCATTTCTATTTTCACTCCTATTTTAATTCGATATATTTTAAAGTGACCACTTACCTCAATGTTTTCAATGAAGTTTGGAAGATTTCCCAAAATTTTACACTGATCAACATTGGCAGGCCAGGCCCAGGAGCCATTGGGCTGACAGTAAAATGTCATGTTTTCTGGAATGAAAATATGTAACTCGAAACAAAATAGAAAATATGTTAGAAAAATGCAACATTATGTATATTTATCTCTGTAACAAAATTAAATTACAAACTAACTAACTAACTAACTTAGTAACTAACTAAATAAATAAAAATAAATAATTTAAACAAACTAGAACGATGGAAGGAGGCGGGGATCTCCTTGTCGCTATTTTGTCTGGATCTTAGACCCACTTAAAAATTGGTTTGGACACGCCAGCTAGAACAAAACTCATAGAAATCTCAAAGTCGCATTTCTGTACGTTTGGACCAAATAAGTACTCCCTTGGTTTGAACAAACTTCAGAGATAATTGAGCCATGGATTTCAGTGACACAGATAGGGGTAAACATATTAACAAACATTAGTTCAAGGACGAATGCACTTGCCGGTAATTCAAAATATACCAATGACCGGCGGGAAAACTGTCCTAATGATTGCGCCATAATAGGCTCCACTACGTCCCTTGGAGCTGGTGTTCCGGGATTTCCTTTATAATTATCCTCATTAAATGTCATTGTGTTCTCTACCAGGAAGCCCATGTTATTACGATTCTTTAGTGAGGGTTGCTTATTATTTTCTATATACAATTTTGCGTAATTCTTCGTGTAGGCACCAAAACACTTTAAACACTTTTAACTACACCGAAACAATTGTAAATAATTACAGTTGAAGAAAAAAATCTATTAAAGCACTTGCAAAACAAGTCATAGATAACTTTAAATTATTGGCTGTAGATTTACAAGAGCGACAGAAATTATGTTACAAAATTGGTTTGTTAGTGAAAACATATGCGAAACTTTAGTTGCAGTCATCCCAGTTCAAATTTCAAGAAATAAGACAGCTACATTTTGTAAACGCTGAAAACCAGTCGAGAATAAACTTACTTGTGACGTCATATCTGACACCATCCACCTCTGCCGGGCATGACGTCATGGCAATCTCCCCCGCCCTTGTGGTCGGCCAGCAGGTGTCCTTTGTCCAGGTGCTGTTACAATATATCTGACCCTTGTCTGGAAGAATAAATATAGAAATAAATAAAGATTAATTATTGAGAAAAAAATAATAACTTTACAAACCAAACGAGTGTGTACAATCCCACCTAAAGGATGCACCCAGTTTTTTTTTTTTTTACTTTTATCGTAAAATTTCACTCAAAATTGTACGAAGTTAGAAGTTCGCAACTAAAAATCTTTAATACGTGGGAGCATTCAGTTTATTGAATAAAATTAAGCAGAGAACAAACCTGGCAAATCAAGTAATACTGTAGAAGTACATTTCCCAAAAATGAGTTGGGCGTACTTAAAAAACAGTATATATATACCTGAATCACAAAAAAAAAAAAAAAAAAAATCATGTCTCAAAATTCAAAAAAAGTCTCGCTTTATTCTAAGGGCGCGAGTTGATCCGCGGGCTAACAGTGTCTAATAGGAGAACATGCGGCAAGCTTTCAAGTGGATCGGCCATATTTGATATGAGGATCTGTTCATCTGCGGATCAACTTGTTTTGAATGTGCTCCTAGAAGTGTCTGAAGTATGTCAACAAATGTCAACAAGTAAGGCAAACATACAGGTAAGTTGTATAAAACATCCACGCCTGACTGTTCGTAATCCAGAGCCGTAGGCTTCGGAAAATTTTAAAGGGTGGGGTGGCGGTGGGGTGTCATTTGGGGGTAGTCCTTGAAGGCCTTCGGTTCTAGCAGGTTATATTTACATGTGTACCGCATGTTTTAATCATCTGGACGCTGATTGAAAGAAAGGTAAGGAGAAAGAATTGGGAGAAGGTTGCCACTCAATACTGATCCCCTGATAAGTATTTTGTAAAAATCTCCGAGTTGTGTGGGTGGGAGGGGGGTGGTTGGGGGGAGGGGAGACAGCCTCCGATTGCCCCCTCCCCACCCTCAGCAGCCTTCGGCCATATAATCTGACGTTAGTGGAGAAATAAAAGCCGCCTTAAAATATTCATTAGATAATAATAGATCACAGTGAAACTGAAATGTCGCTTTAAAAACTCTAATGCCCATGCAGGCATGACAGGCATGACAAAAATGCATTGATGCCCTAGTAAGTGAATTAGTCTATTTTTTAAGCGGGGCTTGAGCATTAGGGAAATGGCTGGTGTTTTGTCTAAATGCAAGTGTTTCCATGCGTTGTAAAATTGGTTTGAGCTCTAAGAGCAATGTTCAGCGCGTTTCCTCTTACCGTCTATATTAAGACGGCTAATAGCACAGGATTTCATCATAGTCGTTCATTGCTTTAGAAATATGATATACTGTTAACCTTATGTAATAAGGTTTCGGGTTTGAAATTTATTTTTGGATACTGAGAATGGCATACAAATTAAGTTAATATTACATCTCATTATAACTAGTAGACACTGGTAAATAGTCCAAATGAGTCCAGGAATCAAAATAAAAGTAAAACACGTGGATTAAAGCATGCATGCTTATAAATAAATAAAAAAAGGTAACTCAAGAAAGGAAAAAAAGAAAGTTGAAAGAAAGCGAATGAAAAATAAAATAAGTCCAAATAAAAATATTGGGTCAACTTATCTTAAGTGATGACCCCCTTTTACTTTCGTATTAGAATGTATGGAAATAGTTCAACTTAACCTGTATGCTGTTGTTTACGTGACGTGAGGCACGATTACAGCATTGAAGGATGAGAATAGACCCAGTGTTTCCCGAAATAAATAGATTGACAGCTACTTGAAACTAATACAGTAACTGTGTGTTTGTTTATAGCTTGTGTAGAAAGCAAAATAAAGTCGTAGGACCGCGAAACTCAAAACGAATTATAATTATCTTTCTACCTATAACTAAATACGAACTAAATAAATAAATAATTAAAAAGAGGCTTATTGTTTGAGTTTATTTCACCATAAGTACACGTATATGCCACGCAACATTTTTACGTCCTGAGCAGTAGCAAAATGTAGTGAAAAATTGATACCTGGATACACATTAAAATTAACTGCAGGTTCTTGTAAAAAATGACGACAACAAATATGAAATGCTTGTCATAACCACTCAATCGATGAAAGTTGCTGTTTAAGGGGCTGAAAACTGTATTTTACTGTCTTTTTACATTAACGTTTAAAGCGTTTATAAATCTTCTACGCTAGGTAAATGAAATAGTCGTCTAAAATTAGATTTTCTTCACTTTTCCCAATAAGAAAGTATGTTGGTCTAAGAAAACAGTCATATGTGTTTGTGCTGACTTATTTCCATTTACCCACTTTTAGCTGCATTTCTGATATCATTGGCGAGTCTATAATACATGTGCATTCGATGCTACACTTGTATGTATAAAAGGGAAAAAAGAGCAGGAGACGTTCATTTTTTAGCACGTAAAAAAAACGTTTTGCAGAGTTATTTAAAAGTTTGAGATACACCCTGTTTATAAACACTGAAATGAAGATTATATATACTTAGATAACAAAACATTCGTGCAAGTTTCTGACACCTGTTCATGGTGTTTTGTTTACAGAACGCAAACGGCTAAGGCACAAGCTCACTAACCTTCCACGAACAGTTATCAATTTGAAAACGTTATGACGATAGAAGTCTAACGTTTATTTAATCTTTTACTGGACATGTGGTTAAAAAAGCACCTTATCGTGTTTAAATATTTTAGTCTCAGTACAAATGCGATCCCTTTGATCACCCGAAAACAATGCTTACGGACCCCTTACGGCGCCGTAAAAAAAACGGAGACAAAAAACTTATTACCGCAAACCGCTGCACGAACAACGCGGCAAGACGGCTTGTTATATATAAAAACAACCTAGAAATATATACGCATTGACCTTAAGTCGTGATAAAGAACGCTCAACAACAGCCTCTTTTCTTTCGCAGATCCAGGGGCCCGTGGTTTGCGTATACCTTCGTCAGTTTACAAATTGGCCTTTCTTTAACACAGGATACATAGCGCACCATTATGTAATGAATACAGTGTAGTATTAGCTTGCAAACGATTTCTCCACAACACCACATCCTGCTGGTATTACACACGAAACACCCCGGACCGAAACAGATGGTGTTAATAGGCACCTGGGAAAAAAATGAATAAATAAATAATTACGCGGAAGAAATCGATAACACAATTGCTCCTATACTTCTGAGGAGGCTAATTGAAACATTCGTCTTCTTCTTCTTCTTACGTTTTTGTCATGGACTCTAAACTTCGATTCATTAAAAACCTCATTTTTTCTTATAGACGAGCAGCATCAAATGGAAGCATAAAACGGAATGCAGCGTCCAAGTCGTGTTCATTATGAGATGTCAGCCAAGCACTACTGACATCCGTGTCACTTTTAATAAATCACTGTTTGAAGGAGAACGATACTTTGGAGTTCTTTAAAAAATCCAAAGCAGTCTGCCGTGCTCTGATATTTCTGATTATAGCCACAATTTGACGTCTTCAGAATCCACTCCCCGTTACCAAGCTAATTACAGATGATATTTTTAGGTAAATTTTATCACTATCGTCAACGGTGAATCATCAGATGACATAGAGTTATCCGTCAACTGTCTTGTTACGCCAACATTGAGCCATTGAGCCAAATGTTGCCAATCAGGCAGTTGCCTTAATCCCAGACTAGATACATATCTTTTTTTATCTTATGGTCTTTCACATTCTTGCCCCCACTCCCCTTAAACCTCGTTGAGTCTTGTTTAGTAGTCAATGATTGAAGTCAGAATAAAACCCGTTCTTTTTGTGAAAATAATATTAATAAACAATTATCAGCATGTAATTCGTGTCTAGATTTTAAGAAAAAGGTACTGTTGAATGTATATAGGTGGCTATTTCAATGTATTGTTCCCAATTTGTAGCAAAATCATGGATCCGTCAGTGAAGCTTTAAATTATGTAATTTTACAAAATATAATAATAATAATAATAATAATAATAATAATAATAATATGATCGTTATTAAGTTAACCTACTTAAATTTTCATGAATGAACGTAAACATTTATAGGCTACCAGAATAGCACACTACGAAAATGGTTTCTCTTCTGAATTTGCTGCCTAGAAAATTGTGATATTATACTATATTTTATACTATTTCTTCCTGACTAGCAGTGTAAAAAATCAAGAAATGAATAAACCAATGACGCGCGGTTCTAGTTTCTTGTATTCTTTAACAAATAAGGACTTGGTTCTGTACCCCTGTTGGTTGGGGTTCGCTGTCTTTTAGCAAAGTTTAAATTAGTTCTGTCGTCAAAGTGTCATGTCGGTTCGGAATTCCCCGCCTCTGCAATCAATCAATTTCCCTGGGCGATCTCGGCTTGATTTTAATGGAAATTCACAGACGAGTCACGTACGCGTTTCAGTAGTTCTGTTACAGCACGCAACAAACGCACACTGCGGAATTTACCTGGTGTGTGATCGTCATCGACTTCCTCTGAAAATATTTGATGGTGGACTACGCGCGCATAGTTTACTTGTCCTCATGCTGTGACAGGATCAGTAGAGGGTAAGACTTTGATTTGTGGACGTAGAGCGATCATTTTTTTAAATGTCGAATCAATAAGAAAAACGTTTGTGAAACGTTGCCTGTCAAGTAAAGTTGCAAGTTGCAGTGCATTTCGCCGCTTGGTTTAATGTTTTCATTTTCCCACTATTTTGCCACGATTGTCTGGCATTTTGTTTTGCAATAAAAAAGGCGACCTGCTGTGCTGATCTGTATCATTAAAAGACTTTTTTAAACGATTAGTTAAGCATAATTGAACATTCAATACCATTTTCTTTGAAAATCGTTTCCATCTAATATCATTATGTAACAATCAATTATATTACACAACAATACATCAGGGAGCCATAGTTCAATTACAGGCAGACATTCTGGCATTGTTTGGGTGCTGAGACTATTGTCTATTGGTATCACTCTCGTAATCTCAGCGGGGGAAAAGCAATAAATAGTGCAATAAATCTTCTATTAGTCTATTTAAGTGTATCCTTCAATACTCGAAGATCTAAGTTTTATTACAATAGCACCGGTCTGAGATGCTTTCGAAGCATGGTAAGTTAATTGGGACCTTCTTTGTTTTGTTCAACTTGTCCATCAATTTCGTTTCCCTCCCAGAAAAAAATAATAATAAAAGAAAAAGAAAAAAGAAATGAGTTGTAATGGAAATTTCCGTCCAGTATTTAATTTGGAAAATGTATGATGTGCCCCTATCCCCCCTTTTCTATCTCGAATGCTAATTGAAACTGGTCTCCTATAAATCGTGAGTAATTAAGAAATGTAACTCACCCGTCGGCGGATACGGATCCATAATCAGGAATTTGGCGAAGCATATCAACTTTCTTTCCTTGGCGATGGCGTCTATCACAGAGTCCATGGTGTGGTTCGAATGCAGGTCCTCGCCGTAGTCGGGATATGTAAAGTTGAAAAAGGCCTCACTGTAAAAGTCATCGTCGTAAATCAACTGCGCTTCCTCGGACTCCAAGACATCGCTGGTTCCAGTAAAATTTGCGTCAAGGGGGACGGCGTTCGTCGCGGTTGCGTTGTGCGTTGAATTAAGCATGGTTGCCTTGAGGTGCCTTCACATTCGAGTTTTGCAAGTGTTCATTGTATTCAGTCGATGGTTACGTCTTTGTGGAGGTATGCCTTAAAAGAGAGCATATATACATATATATATAGCATTTACTACCACTTTTAGAAATGCACAAATTGGGGGTGGAGACACTGAAAGTATATGAGACCAAATTTCGGTCAAAGAATACGTTATCAGGCAATACGACAGCACAGAGGGAACCTTGAGCGAATGTAGCTGCTCCTCTTATGCCATCTGCAGCACGACTATCTGCGCGAATTACATCTCACTGAGCGGCAAGATTACTGGCGGTCCGCTTTTCCAGAAATATATATAGTATACTTGGAATCAGTGCAAATCGACAGATTTTGATCAAATATGTAAGAAAGCGGATTCTATGTAAGTCAGAGTGTAGGAATAAGAAAGCTATTGGTTCACGAAAAAGAGGCCGTGTGTAGAGAGTTGGAACAGGGGAGGGGAGTTGGAACTGTATGTATTTTCACTGATACTGGGAATGTTTGGATAGAAAAAATATAAATGAGCAAGGTGGTGCATTGCACTGGTACACTGAAATGAGCACTACACGCCCAAAGAACCTGGGTCTCTTTACACACACACACACACACACACAAACACACACACGTGCGTTTCAAATAAAATTTAAAAAGGACGCTTATTTCGTTTTATCGGCCTGTTTAAAAACCCTTTGAGCAATGTATGATTGTGATTGCCTTGACGAAGCTTTCTACTCTCTGTGACTTTTGATTTGTCATATACATTTGTTGCAAAACTTTCATTCTTAAAAGTTTTTAAAGGAATATCTCAAAGCCGACATTGTGTAATCAAGCCTTGCAGTTTCAGCCGTCTAACTTTTCTCTTTCCCTTTTTAACGTATGGCACTAACGTATCAGAAAAATTGCCCGCATGCAGACAATTTTAACGCTAACGGTTTGTTAAATTTGCGTCGTTTGAACCTGCACAAACGTTGTGCAGGTTCAAACCCAGGCAGAAGTTAAAATATTTAGAATATATATCAAAAACAATATCACACTGCTTGTACAGGAGGTATCATCAGTTTAATGCGCTGGAAACAGGATGATTTTATAGGCTCAATGTTGTGTGTATATAATCAATGTCACATAAGAAACTCATGCGTGTGACAGAGCTTTAAAGCCAGTGTAAAGCTTTTTTCCCTTCAAAAATATATTCGACCACATACATTATTAACTATCAAAGAAAAAAAACACCCAAAATGCTTTTAGCGTCCTAAATACCTCGTCTATCACTGGCATCGGCGTTTGTGGAATATTGATCTGAAAACAGACACAACAGGCGAGGTTTGAAAATCTAACATCAATATCAGATTCATAGGCTTAATGGGCTGCCGACCTTACGCTTTATTTCACACTACCAAGCCAAAACTGCTTTACTTGTATCTGGCGCTTTGGGCTGGTAGGGTATCGTAGAATACTAGGACCAGCCCAACTAATCTTAACTCAAAAGGAGTGCACTGGTTTATGATAATAATAAAAATAATAATAACAATAATAACAATTTATAACATTATTTTGCACAGGTAAGCCTCTCCTTTGATTTTGAACCACTTGCGTCAGGCTAACCCTAACCTGTGTAATTAAATGGAGGATGGACTCTCTGTTACTCGGACCCTCAGTTTTGTCACATCACCACTGTGTTATCGAGCATGCACGTATGTGTAGGCATCAGGGTTGTTTTACCTTGTGAATTAGTCATCTGTGAGCAGACAAAGTGATTCACTGTGTAATGCTATTGGAACTGTACATAAATGTTCCAGTTGGTCTTTCGTGAGATAACTTTTACGTCATAGCCGTAAAGAGGTGGAGTGAAACTGCAACATTAAGGTCCCATCTCATTGGAGATATTGACTTGTTTTTCTGTAAAATCACCAAAACATGCCCACTTTTTGTAAGTTTGCTTGGTTGGTAAAAAAAGGGTTAAGTTCACCGACCCCCTGAAAATCTTACGTATACATACACAATGTAAGCTTGAACCGACCGAAGGTCCTCGGTTTAAGCAACCAAAACACAGACAGGAACGCCTATTTCCTTGATTGTGCCAAAACCACACATCGATTAACAGAAAAGTCGCGTGTCACTGATCGTAATCGTAAATAAATGTTTTAGACTTTTAAAAGAGAGAGAGAGAGAGAGAGAATGAGAGAGAACGCACACACTTTCAATCGATGCCACTTCCGTTCATGAGTTCCTAGCCATTTATGTGTTAGGCCAACAAAGTGCACAACTACCAAATAATCTGGATGGTTCCAAATAAGATCAACTGTTTATTTTATAATATAAACATATACCAGTATCTAAATAAAAATAAAATTAAAGAGACGGCTAAACGTACGTTAAATATCCCTCTCCGCCGACAAGTGACAACCCACAATAAACTATCACATATACATATACTGCTGTATATACAGTAGATAAACAATAATAAAACACCAGTTATACCTCAAACGGACACCAAATGCCGTAAATCATATACGAGATCGATTCTTCCCCTCAGAAACGCTAATTCGAAGACAAAACTCCTTACCTTCTCATATATCAGACAGCAGCTTGAATACTCGCGAAACTTAAAAGCCAACAGTGACCATGAGGTCCACTTCCACCGGGACAGGAGAAACGCCAACAGAAGAACGGCCAACAGTCTTGTCTTTGCTCCAGAAATGCCGAGGGCCTGGTAATGGCAGTGCCAATAGAACCGTTCTCCTCGTCACCGGAGTTCAGAGACTTTTGCTACCGTTCCACCTGATTGCTTTGACTTTTGTTCTCTGTGAGCGCACATGGTTTATAACGTGGAACGAGGTTCCTGGTGACGCGTATATAGAGGGGAGGAGTGAAGGATGTTATTGGCTATAGCTAGCTATTTCAAAACGAAACTTGGAGACAAACAACTATGGTTGTGTAAGGATGTGTAAGGCAGTGGTAAAGGACGGTTAATGATGAAATCCATGTGGAGACAGAAACGATTCTTGAAGTGATGTTGTAGATGGGTAAATTGGAGGGGAGGGGAGAAAGTATCACTTTAAAAAGAAATAAATCCTTCGATAAAAGCGGTTATTAGCAGACCTAAGAGTGAAATAAAGGCGATGACTGCATTATATTCCGAAATTGAAAAAATTAAATGTCTATTTTCAGCACAAATGAGGTGTCAATGCCGTTAACGTAAAGGGTTTTAAAGAACGTCAGTGAAGGCGAGAAAAAATAAAAATTCAAATTATGACCGAAAGATAGACTTGCGCCGTGTAGTATTTTGGGAAAGGTAATGCTCATTCAAAAGGGCAAAGTTTTGATGTCTTCTTCCTCTGTTCTCTTCAAGTCATCCCTGTATTTTGTAAAATTTTTAATTTCCTAATTCAGATGACAAAATAGCCAACACGAAATGACGCAAAATGTCATAATGCGAACTGGCAAGAATCGACAAAAATTCTATTTTGGGCATATCGTTACAGAAATGCAGGAAATGAAAATAGGCTGCCAGTTAAATAGTTCTTTCCTCGAGAAGAACAACAATAAAGGACACCGTTTTACCATCCACTCACTACTAACAAGTACTTGAAAAGACAATCAACTAGTTAGCATGAAATGCGTCTTGCAGTATCGAATGTCAGTCATGCTCAGCTTTCACCTTGACTTCTCACGTTCGTGAAAACAACGTAAAAGAAAGAAACAGCAATACTTCTTCGAATTCTTTGTTGTTCGGGTCTTCCGGTGGTGTTCTTTTTATGTAACACACAGTCACACAAGGTATTATAAATATATGCATACCCCATGCAAATGATATAATGTTTATTGTAAAATGTCTCTCTCTTTCCCAGTCCTTATCCCTGAATTCAAAATGCGGAGCACAGCATGTTTTTATTTTTACTCAAACCACATACGTCAACAACAGGGTCAACACGTCTGTCACAGTTTACGGTCGACTGACACTTCTGTTTGTATCTGCGGGGAAACAGAGAAAATCTCGAAGGTCATTTTCGAACCCACGAAATACATACAGCTGTATAACAAGCCACACTTAGGTGTATGAAAAAGTGCTAGAGAGAGAGAGAGAGAGAGAGAGGGAGAGAGATAGCGAAGGCAGGAACAGAATACGGCATTATTACATGAAAACTCTCCTACATCTACTTTTTTTGCTGTTGACATTTATAATAAATCTCAACTGAGTCAACGCTCCTCAGTGTCAAAATGGTATTTTGCGCCTTTAAATTGGTGTAAATACTTTATGTTAAATAGACTATAAATGTGCCTAGGGACACTGCAAATAGTCCATTACCTCTTCTAGTCTGTACTCGTATTATTTACCCTGGTTTTTGTTCCAGCTGCTAGAAATCTTGTTTACCTATATACCCTTGTACATGCAACCCCTTGCTTTTAAAAAGATTGACGGTACAGCAAGATATGGATAAGTATTCAGTAGACAGTTTTGCCCTTAGACAATTTTGTGACATTATTATTGACGTCACGAATAATGGGGATCATCTTTGAAATGAACCGAAAACGCCAATAAAATGCTCAAAATATACAATATCCAGGAAGTTTATAAAGGCATACAGATATATATATATCCTATGCAACAAATTGACGCACCAGTAAAAAGAATTGTTACACAATTCGCCTGTTGTTCATGTACAATGTAGCTCATACATGCATCCGGCGTATCATGATAATACCATGTTACCTGAAAATATGTTATCTAAATAATAGTGACAAATTACAGGTGCGTTCAACAACACATGCAATCGACCCAAAAATAAATAAATAAATAAATAAATAATAATAATAATAATAATAATAATAAAGAATAGGTTACAATACATTCATTCATTTCAGATGGTTAAAAATTTCTAAAAGAAAATGAATAAACACGGCGATGACAAGTCTGGTTAACCAAAAACCGCGGGGGACAAACTGTTCTACTCGATAAAGTGACTATAAATATAAACATCGCCTTGTGGAGCACACTTCAGGGTTTGTCGTCGGAGTAAACTGTGAACTGATGGCTACAGTAATGGTTCATGGCTTGG